GGTTAGGGTTTTTAGGGTTTGGAGTTAAGGGTTGCTGAGGTGGGGTTCAGGGGTAGAGGGGTTTAGGATCGAGGGTTCAGGCACTATCTTCGGGCTTGCTTACAGGGTCCTTGAAGCTCAGCTCACCTGCTTCCTTCCTTCCCGTACCGCGCGGCTCACGCCGGCACAGACCAGGACCCTAAACCCTACTTGGGGATCCAGAAACCTATCGTTTTCAGGGGGGGGGGGGGGGGNNTCTGCCCTCTAATTAAGGGGTCATAACCTACTATTTTGTAGGGTTTGGGGTCACAGGTAGGCCTTAAGCCCTAGATCCTAAAGCCCTCTAAAACCTAAACCCAAAACATCATTTAACGCTAGATCCTAAACCCTGAAACCCCTAAACCTCAAACCCGAAACCCCTAAACCCCTGAACCCTAGATCCTAAACCCCAAACCCTCGCCGGCCCACGTTCAGAAAAATTGGTGCCGTCAGACCAAAGCCTTCTCGCGGCACAGACCCAGAGCTTTTAGGGTGCAGGCTTTAGCGTTAATACTTGGCGTTCTTCTGGTTGGCTCTTAGGACTTTAACTTTTGGGGTATAATAAGGATGCTAAAAGTTTAATTTTTAGGATGGGTTCAGAAGTCAGCCAAGAATATATCTGAAATCGGATCCAATTAAAAGGATCCCCTTCGAATTTCAGGTGTATGAAGGATCCACTTATAAGGATGCACTTCCAGTTTAAGCTATAGTCCTCCGTCAGGGCTCCTTTAGGGAGTAAGGAGTCTAGAGGGACCTATAGGGTTTACATATGAAGGATCCCCGCACAAGGATCCCCTTCTAGCCTAAACCCTAAACCCTAAACCCTAAACCCTAAACCCTAAACCCTAAACCGTCTCAACTAAGGGACCTCGGAAGATCGTGGTCCCTGACCCTAAACCCTAAGCCCCCGAACGGGTTTAGGGTTTAGGGTTTAGGGTTTAGGGGTTTAGGGTTTAGGGTTTAGGGTTTAGGGTTTAGGGTTTACGGTTTAGGCCCGAACATCCCTCAATCCTTGATTCGGAACCTTTAAAGGAACCCCGGGTACACTATGGACTTTGTCGGCGTCGATGCAGAATCGGATGCCGTGGCAGCACCCTAAACTCTAAACCCTAAACCTTAAACCCTACGCCCTAAACCCTAAACCTTAAGCCACGCTATTCTACGTAATCACACCCTTTCATGGACATCGAGGCATTTTACGAGTTTGTTTGCCACGCTGCATGGAATTCGTTGACAGACCCAACCATCAGCGCGAAGGCTACAGCTGTGTGGACCGATTTGTCCTGGACGCAGCTGCAAATCGACAGCTTCATCAGCTCCTTGGCCCGGCTATCGCCCAACTTAACATGGGCACAGACGTTGGAAAGACTCTGCGTTGGCCATGTTTGCGCAAGAGCCGTGCTCATTTTTTGCAGAAGAGTGCAATTGCACGAGCATGAGCTGCAAACCAATCAAATTCTGACAACTCTAAACCCTAACGGGACCCTGTGGAAGATGCCTCAAGGCAGGCAGGAATTGGTCAAGAAAGGGCTGAATTTGGCTTTAGGGTTTAGGGCTTAGGGTTTGGGGCTTGGGGTGTAGGGCTTCCCAGACCACCGGGAGGATATAAAAGTGGATCCCCTAATTCGGGACCCTATACTACTAAGGAGTATTTGAAAGGAAGCCCCTTTAAATCCATTTTTTAGATGCTTCCGGCTGTCTGGGTTTGGGTTTTGTGTCCGTGGCATGGTCCAACATGGGCCACAAACCTTGCCGGTCCATCATCATGACCCATCCCCTAAACCCTAAACCCTAATCCGGAAACCCTAAACCAAAATCCCTAAACCTAATATTCACTAGCAACCCTGGCGTTGAATTCCTACACCTTAAGCTCCGAAACTAGAACGCTTTTACACTCAAAGCGGTCGAGAACGGTGCCGCGTAGAACCCGGAAACGCCGCAAACCCTAAATTAGGGTTTAGGGTTTAGGGTTTAGGGTTTAGGGTAAACCCTAAACCCCGAACCCAAACCTTGATAAACTTCTACGCAAGCCTTGCAAAAATCCTCAGAGAAGGCGTCAAGGCTCTAGGGTTTAGGGTTTTAGGGTCTTGGGTTTTTGGTTTTAAGGTCTTGGGTTTAGGGTTTTAGGGTCTTGGGTTTTGGGTTTCAGGGTTTAGGGTTTAGGGTTGTGAAAGAAATAGTCGTAAGGATACTGCGAATATGGTTACGCGTAGGACGAGACTGTCGGTAAACAATCGGGATTCAAGACCCGAACTCTGCCAAAACCCTATATTCCAACTATTAAGGCCCCTACATTACTCTAACAGAGCACTATATAATGTCCCAACGAATACCTAGTCCAACCGAGACTTTTGTAAACCCTGAAAACAACCCCTGGCCGAAGACCTCAAACGCAGGATTACCAGGATTTCCGTGCAGCTGTAAAAGTACTCTTCGCGCATGGGAGTGGCAAGCAGGCCCTCCCCTTCGGGTGACTTAGGGGTTTAGGGTTTGGGGGTTTAGGGTTTTAGGGGTCAGTGTTTGGGGGTTTAGGGGCTTAGGGTTCAGGGTTTAGGGCTTTGGGGGTTTAGGGTTTAGGGGTTTATAAGAGGTTTGGTTTTTAGGATTTTAGGGTTTAACTTACGTTGTAGGGCATGGTAAGGATCTATACATGAACCCTGTAACATGCTTCCAGGGTTCCTTGTTCTGATTTCCTTATATAAGTCCTGAAAAAGGTAGGTTTTTGGGGGTTCAGGTACCCAGACCACGGGAAGGACCAAAACAATAGATCCCATAAAGGTTGGTTCCAAGAAGTACCCCTTAGAAGAATAGTGTCCCAAATTAGGGGATCTACTTTTTAGATCCTTCTGGTGGTCTGGCTAGGGGTTTGGGTTTAGGGATTTGGCGTTTCGGGTGAGGGTTTCGAGGAAAGAGCCCCAAACTCGTAAAGTAGACCCCGATTTGAAAGGGTTGTTGGCTTAGGGTTTAGGGGTTTAAGGTTTACCTTAAGAACCCAAAACCTACTTTTTTGTAGGGTCCCTACAAATCCCATATTAAGGTTTTTAAGAAGAACCTACTAAAAAGTGGGTTTTGGGTTCTTAAGGTAGGGTTTGGGGGTTTAGGGTCTGGGCCTGCTCACCGGTGCTGGCGAGTTTGCGCCCAAGTCGATCCCGTGAAGCTGGGTGGACTCGATGCAATGCTTTGCGCTGCTTTCCGCAATGCCACGCCTTTATGCGACGCTATCCGCGGACGTGTTGGCCTCATGTCGTGGGCCGGTATACGCATCACGCGCGCTTGACATGTTGATCTTCAGATGTAGGTAGGTTCGGCGAAGGCATTGCTCAATTAAACCTGCAGCCGCAAACCTTAACCCGACACCCGCTTTCCCCTGAAACGTAAAATGCCCTAAAATTACATCCTAAACCCTCTTTCGCTTAACCCCAAACCCCAAAGTGCGTCTCTTTCCTGATCTTCCACTCAAAACCCAAAACCCTCTGAATCTTCACAGGTGTTCAGCAGGGCCTGGGCCGGTGTTCAAATCTGTATCGATGTTTGGGAACAAGATTAGGGTTCAGGGGTTTAGGATTTAGGGTTTAGGGTTTGGGGTTGCGATGTTTGGGAACGAGAATCCAGCAATCACGCCTTCAGGGATCCTAGAGGTGCCGTTCTCGTGCAGTTTAGGGTCTTTTAGGGTGTTTCGGGTTTGGGTTTCTAGGGATTGCAGGCCAGCTCGGATGCAGTACGGTCCCTTTGACTCCTAAACCCTAAACCCCTAAATCCTAAACCCTAAGCCCCTAAACCCTAAATCCTAAACCCTAAGCTCTGAACCCTAAACCCTAACTCCCCAACCCCAAAACCTCAACATTAAAGCCCTTGAAAGAGGCCTTCTTGGCCCAACGCCCAAGCGGTTTCGGGTTTAGGGTTTAGGGTTTAGGGTTTAGGGTTTATAGGGTTTAGGGTTTAGGGTTTAGGGTTTAGGGTTTAGGGCCCCAAACCCCAATTCCTTGTGTTACTCATGTAACCTTGTAGTTAGAATCCTCATGGCACTTTCCATAGAACCCACAAGCCCTACATCCTTGCGGGAAAACACTTCAAAACATAATGGAACTGTCCTTAAGCCCTACATTCCTTCAACAAAGCCCTGCAAAAACGAATAGAAACCCCCTTACATTCCTGCATTCCTTCAAAACTGCCCTTCACACATGAAGAGAACCGGTAAGCCCTACATTCCTCAAGGAAGACCCTGCAAAAATCATCGAACCCTGCAAGCCCGCCGATTCCTTTTAGGGTTTAGGGTTTCAGGGTTTCAGGGTTTCAGGGTTCTAGGGTTTCGGGTTAATTTAGGAACTCCTAAAGGAGTCCTTACAGGAACTCTCAAAAAGGAGCCCTCAAAGGGCCCATTAAGAATAATGTTCGAACACTTAGGCCCTTCTTTTTCACCCGGTTTAGGGTTTAGGGGTTCAGGGTTTAGGGTAAGGGCTTAGGGGTTTAGGGTTTAGGGTTTAGGGTTTAGGGTTTAGGGTTTAGGGTTTAGTGCCTCCCTAGGTTTTCCGGGGTTACCTGTCACCCCAAACCCTACAAACAGGAGGTTCTGACCCCTTAGAACCCTTAAAACCGAACGTTTCTGGATCCCCGGCAAGCCCTAAGCCGTAAATAATAGGAACCCTTAGTAGGTTAGGTTTTTGGATCCCCAGCCTTTAAACCCTAAACCCTAAACCCTAAACCCTAAACCCTAAACCCTAAACCCTAAACCCTAAACCCTAAACCCTAAACCCTAAACCCTATTCCTGGAAGGTCTCCGAACTTCCTTCTGTGGACGACGTGCTGTTGCAGCTGGCCGAGATGCTTTGGCGTGCCGTGCGGTCCCTAGGATCAGGGCTTGCTGGGTTTAGGGTGTTTGGGTTCAGGGTTTAGGTTAGTGGGGTGTTGGGTTGCTACGTAGGGTTTTAAGTTTAGGGTTTAGGGTGATTAATGTACGGTTGCTTAGGGCTTAGAGGTTCGGATGTGTAGGGCTTATAGTAGGCCTATAGGTGTTGTAGGGTTTAGGTTGTTTGGGGTTTAACCCTAAACCCTAAACCCCTAAACCCTAAACCCTAAACCCTAAACCCTGAACCCTAAACCCTAAACCCTAAAGTTTAGGTTGCGTTCAGAGTCGTCTCCCAGTGCAGTAGCTTCGGAGCTTTTAAAGGCTGCGGTCCAGGTCCTCGGGCTCTCGGATTTAGGCTGTTAAGGGCCGTGAAATTAGGGTTTAGGGTTTAGGGTTTAGGGTTTAGGGTTTAGGGTTTAGGGTCCAGGGCATGCCAGCAGTATTCGAAGGTTTGGGCTTTTAGGGTTTAGGGTTGCATCGAACCCCGGGAGGGATTCTATTCTACAGGGGCTAGTTCAAGGCCTCACGCCCAAGACCCTAATCTAGGACATTTTCAGGTGGGTAGTTAACTCCTTGTTTTCCTTGAGAATGTCAAGCATGAAAGCCAAAGGACAGAGGTGCGGGCCATGCACCAGATGCTTCGTGGGGGTCTCAACTACATACGCATCATGCACTCGCATGGCCTGTGGCTTCCGCATTCTTGTGCTAGGATCCAACTTGAATCAGGCTTGACATTCTCAAGAGGCTATGCATACATGGCTAACCACTTGACCTCCCTGGGAGTTTCCGGCTACAGATTGCGCCGCAAACTGCACTACATGATGCACTTGCTCCTTGAGCTTAAAGAACAAGTGGATGCCGGATTCCCCTATGCACTGAATACCGGGATGTGGCTTTGCGAGTCCAATGAGGATTTCATTGGCAGGGTCAGCCGATTGAGTCGCAGAGTGCATCCAAGCACAGCCGCATTCCGGTGTTTGCAACGTTACTTAGGCAAAGTTCGGTTTTTGTTTTAACGGCTCATGAAGACGTAAACAATATGCAAATTATATTATCTATACCGCTTTAAACCCTAAAGCCATAAAGCCTGTATACGTCGATGCTACATTGTCTTGCTTCACATATATTTTCTAAGCCGTGAGCTGCTCCATGGCTGAAGTGCTTCAGCAGAGTCGTGGCATGAAGAAGGAGAAATCGTCGATTGCATTTTTGTTCTCAAGATTGCGTTTTTGGTAAACAATGGCGTTTTTTAGGTCAAATCCAACGATGCCTGAAATTATGCGGGGGCGGGTTGTCAAGGTTACCGTTATAAGAGCCTTAAAGAAGGTCTATATACCCTATAGAAGCCTTGTAGAAGCCCTATATACCCTAAACTCCCCACCTGTAGTCTCCTTATTAACCAAGACCTTAAGCCGTAAAAAATGGAAACCCGGAAGCCCAGAAAACCCTGAAGCCCCAAAGCCTAACCTGGGGATCTCAAAATCTACCGTTTTAAGGGTTCCTATAAGGGATCTATGGGGTGTAGGGTTTAGGGTTTACCTGGGATCCAAAAAAAACCTACCGTTTTCAGGGTTCCTACCCTCAAATTAAGGGGTCGTAGCCTACTATTTTGTAGGATTTTGGGTGACCGGTAAAGCCCCTTGCCCAAATCTTAAACCTGAAGACGACTGCTGTACGATGAAAGCTTTCTAGAACCTGTATCGAGAGAAGTCATACGCAAGACAATTCTAAACTGTCTAGGCCGTGTGAGTCACGTACACAGATTCCCTAAACCCTAAACCCTTGACCCTCAACCCTAAACCCTAAACCCTAAAGCTGCTCCGTTTTCAGGACTTCCCGGAAGGCATCGAAGAGCACCGGCGATTCATGGAAGGCGCCCGCTGCTGGGAACCTGCGTCTAATGGAACGAAACGGCCTTGGGGACTTCTTTTAGTTTCTTCATTTGATGGGTTATGGTTACCCTAAACCCTAAACCCTAAACCCTTAAACCCTAAACCGTAAACCCCAAATCCCAAACCCTAAACCCTAAACCCTAAACCCTAAACCCCTAAACCCCTAAACCCTAAACTATGTTCGCTCTTTACCTTCGATGGAGAACGGCGGCCTGAAACATGACACCTCTGTCAAAGGAACCCAGAGACTCCAATATCCCTTAATTAAGGAATATGGGAGTTTCAGAAAATAAGGGACCCTGATATAGAACCCTAAGTAGTAGGATCCTTATTATAAGGACCCAAATGAGGTACCCTAGTTTTCTGAAATTCCCATATACGTTAAATTATAGTACGATCCCTAATCCAGTAATATGATCTAAGGTATATTCCTCAATTAAGGGATATCGGAGTCTCTGGGAATTAAAACATCTGTGGACAGCCCTAAACCCTAAACCCTAAACCCTCAGTGACGGTTTATAACGCCTTTTTACTGGTTTGGTAAGGGTGTCAGACGATTTACTCGGGCTTCATACGGGCTTTAGGGTTTGACGCTTTAAGGTTTTGAAGCCTTGATGGTAATATAGCGGCCTTAATGAATACCTATAACACTTTGGGGGTTCCTGATTAGAATTAGCACAATACACCCCAAAATCCTATTCTAATTATTCAGGACCCTACATTACAGGGGTTACGGTTTCGGAATTTATGTTTACCTATTTATAAAAGAGGCTTGGGAAGCTTCGTTGCCTGCAGCAGCTATGGGAGACGGACTAGTATTGATACCAGTGCTCAATACTTGTGTTAGCAATTAAATGTGGAATCAGTGCACTGGACTGGTAATGAATCAATATAAAAAATCATAACATTAGCAGTAACAGTAACAGTGGTGATATTGATCGTGGTAGTGACTGTGCCCGTTGAGAGTGGTCGGGATAGTGGCAGTGGCAAACAGCCGTTAGCAGAAATCGTCGAAGTAACAGTCATAGTTCTAGTCTTAGTCTTAGTCACATTTTAAGTCATAGTAAAGCATGCATGCATATGCATGGGTGCGATTGATGTTATGTAGGTATTATGTATATATGCACGCATGATCATGCATGTGTGTAGTTGTGCATATATGTGTGTATGCAGCAATGAACCTGCCGTTGCAGTTGTTGTTGGTGATGACAACTGTGAGCTCCAAACCCTAAACCCTCAACCCCAAACCCCAAACCCTAAACCCTAAACCCCTACACACCACACCCCTAAACCCTAAACCCCAAACCCCTATACCCTAAACCCTCAACCCCAAACCCCAAACCCTAAAGTCTAAGCCCCTAATTAAACCCTAAACCCCTCAACCCCAAACCCTAAACCCTAAACCCTAAACCCCAAACCCTAAACCCTAAACCCCAAACCCTAAACCCTCAACCCCAAACCATAAAGTTGAAAGCCTGTGATCCTTTGGGAGGTTTCTGCTTGATAGTCCCTTAAGGTCCCTTATAGTAGTCCCTATAGCCCATTCCCCCATTCCCTACTAAGCACCAGACAGTAGTTTAACCTTTTACTTTGCTGGCTTATTGAGGGAGTAAGTTCCATAGCCCCACCGGTCAACCTGTACCCCTAAAGCCTAAACCCTAAACCCTAAATCCAAACCGGACGCTCCTTTGGAGGTTTCTGCTTGAGCCTGCCCAAGCTACTGATTCCCACGTGCCAGACCTCAGCTGGGCGTTTCAGGATTCTGCTGGTTTTTCGGGGGGGCTTCCTTTAAAGGGTTCCTTTAAGGGATCTATAAGGTATCTATAGGGGTTTGGGGTTTAGGGGGGTCCTTTAAGGGATCTATAAGGTATCTATAGGGTTTAGGGTTTGGGGTTTAGGCTTCTGGGGCTAGGACGCTTAGGTTTCGGGGTTTTGTGTTTTGGGGCTTTTGGTTTAGGGTTTTAGGGTTCAGGGTTCGGGCCTCGGGTTTAGGGTTTCGGGGTTTAGGGTTTAGGCTTCTGGGGCTAGGACGGTTAGGTTTCGGGGTTTCGGGTTGAGGGTTTCGGGTTTAGGCTTTCGGGGTGTAGGGTTTGAGGTTTCGGGGTTTAGGGTTTCGGGGTTTAGGGTTCAAGGTTTCGGGGTTTAGGGTTTAGGGTTTCGGGTTTCGGGGTTCCAGGTCTAAGGTTGTGACAAGTGTTCCCATGAAGGGACCCTTTAAAGGAACCTCTTAAAGGAACCTTTAAAGGAACCCCTTTAAAGGAAGCCTTCAAGGAACCCTTAACCCTAAACCCTAAAACTAAAAAAAACACTAAACCCTGGACCCTGAATCCTAAATCCTAAACCCTGAACCCTGAATCCTAAAAACCTAACCGCCCTTGCCCCCAAAAGGCAGGCTTCTGAGGCTAGGAGTTTGGTTTTAGGGTTCAGGGTTTAGGGTTCAGGGTTTGGGGTTTAGGGTTTAGGGGTTTAGGGTTTAGGGGTTTATGGGTTTAAAGGTTTAGGGCTTCGGGTTTAGGGTTTAGGGTTTTTTCGGGTTTAGGGCTTGAGATTTGCACATTCATTCTTGCTTGTCAGTGTAGAAGTTTTTTTGTGTTGGAGAGGGAGCAGGCTTTGGTGAGAGTTGTTCCATGATGACGCTTCCCGTCGCTGCGTGCAGATGTTGATTCTGAATTGGGGGCCTGGGCTTACAAAAAGCCTTGCGTTTGTAATCATGTGCTCTTTTTCCGTTACATCAAGCCCTAAAGCCTAAACCCTATCAGTTGCCACAGTATCTCCCCCAAACCCTATTTTGATCGTTCAGGCCATTCAGAGAAGAGCGGGTCATACAGCGGGGTCGCTTGATTTCTGACCCTAGACCCTGACCTATAAACCCTAAACCCTGAACCCTAAACCCTAAACGCTGAAGGCGTAGGGTACGAAACCCGAAGCCCTCAACCCTGAACCCTAAACTTAGAAAGCCTTGAACCCTACATTGCCACACAGTTTAGGGTTTAGGGTTCCACCCACAAACTACTTGGGTTAAGGGTTTACAGCTCCACGCACTCACACACACCTACTTGGATTTAGGGTTCCACCCCAAAGCCGACTTGAGTTTAGGGTTTAGGGTTCTGCAACTATTTGACCTTGGCTGTCCAAGCACCTACCAATCATAACGTTTCCTAGCCGTGCAGTAGCCCAAATTCTAAACCCAAAGGGCGCTAAAACCTGCCCACCTCAGTACACCATTCGTCCCAAACCCTGAAGCCTGAATTACTACTCTATGGGTCGAAATGATTTGCAATTGTAGTCCCTTATAGTAGCCCCCAATAGAGTCGGAGTTATAGTATACGTACAAGTACCGCCCAAAACCATATTCTAATTATTAACGCTGCTGTGCTAGATGAACCCTAAACTCTAAACATTACAACCAAAAGTCTCTAAACCCTAAACCCTAAACCCTAAACCCTAAACCCTAAACCCTAAACTGTTTAGGGGTCATTGAGGTGGTTTCAGTAAACTTGAGATCTGCCCGGCCTCCTTTTCTGAGAACCTTTGTTGCGTTCGGTTCCGTTCTCGTTCGCGTTCCGTTCCGTTCTCGTGACTGCGCGAGCACCGCCACACCCTGATGAACCACAAAACCTTACATCCTTTAACCCCTATGCCCCAAACTCTACAAAGTGAGGTGGGAGCACCTCATTGCGCAGAGTGCCCCTGCCGGCACGGAGGAACCAGGCAGCTCTGGCGTCTGTCAGGGTTTGGGTTTAGGGGTTTGGGGGTGTAGGCTGCTTAGAAAGTTCTGTAGAGTTTCATGGGGTTCCTTCAAAGCTAAAGAGTTCTATAAGTGTTCTACAATGGCTGTAGGACGTAAGGGTTTCGGATTTTGGGGTTTGGAGTCCAGGAGTTTCAGGATGTTTTGAGATTCTTATACGGGAGCTTGTGGTGGCCGTCAAAAAACAGCATTTTAGGAATTTGCCATGCCATAGTTATATAGCCAGACTGCTGGAAGGATCTGAAAAAGCCGAAACAAAGGCTTTTTTCCTAACCAATATGATGGCAGGAGAACTTGTTGTGCGTCCCTGGGTTTTTACGTCCTTGAAGGATCTGGTTAGGGCTGTGTTTGTCAACCCTAAACCCTAAACCCTAAGCCTTAAACCAGCTGCAGGTCATTGCCCCACCTCAGGCTTCCAGCCACTGAGAATTCAGGGTTTAGGGGGTTGAGTAGGGTTTAGGGTTTAGGGTTTAGGGTACCTGCGCCGCGATCTACTACTGTTGATGATATCAATCCTGCATTACTTTAAGACCCTAAACTATGGCAACTATGGTATATTCCTTATTGTGGGTAATGAGTAATGCAGGATATATATCATCAGCCGTACAACCTACCGTTTCGCAGGGCCCCAGTCGAGCAATGCAGGGCTTGGTATGTTAAGCTAATATGTAACCCTAAACCCTAAACCCGTTCTATGGTGGGGCTCCCTTTAAGGGTTTTGGGTTATAGGGTCGACTTCAGTGATAGGATTCCCAGACAACCGGAAGGATCTATTTAGTAGATCCCCTAAACCCTAAACCCTGAACCCTAAACCCTAAACCCTAAACCCTAAACCCTATACTAATAAGGGGTACTTAACAGGAACCCCCTTCTGAGATCCATTTTTTAGATCCTTCCGGTAGTCTGGGTAAGCCCTCAACCCTAAACCGCTGGAGCCCAGTGTTTCAGCATCTAGACAGTGGGAGCCCGAGGGATACAGTGGATGATACAAATCCTGCATTACCCATAATAAGGAATATACCATAATTCCCATAGTTTAGTGTCTTCAGGTAATGCAGGATTTATATCATCAACAGTAGTGTGTGAGGATTAGGGCGTTTCATGCGGTCTGAACAAACAGTGCTAGGAGTTTTTCTTGTAATAATTATAATAGTCAACATATATCACCAAAGCATTCCCTGATCATCAAGACCAATATTGTTGGTTTTTGTGCGTAGGATTTTGTCGGGGAGTCGGGTTTTTATCGCATGAGATACGCTAGACTTACGCCCCTGACCCCGACCCCAGGGACCTAGCAAAACGGCTCTGCCCCCGGTTTTCAGGAGTTGTTTGAAGGGTTATCTACCCCTTGCCTCAACCCTAAAGCATCATAAAACCCTAAAGCCCGAAACCATAAACCGTGCGCCCTTATCCTGCTAAACCTTCTAACCCTAAACCCTAAACCCTAAACCCTAAAGCCCGAAACCCATGAACCGTGCGCCCTTCTCCTGCTCCTTCTAAATCCCATGAGCCGTCTCTCCCAAAGGCTCCATGTACCTTTATAGTAGATACCTAAGCCTTAAAGGGGTCCCTATATAGGTACTTATAGGGCTTAAGTAGCTACTCTAAATCCCATGAGCCTTCTGTGAACTCCCTACACCCTCTTAAACGGATGGAGCTTCGTGCAAGTGCCGGTTGGGGCATTCGGCCGAGGGGTTTAGGATTTGAGAGTTTGGGGTAAATATTTACGTATTTGCAAAGCTATGCATGACGAGATAGTAACCGAAATGATAACCGGCTATAGCGAAACACACCTAAACCCTAAACCCTAAACCCCTAAACCCTAAACCCTAAACCCCTAAACCCTAAACCCTAAACCCCAAAACCCTAAGTTCCAGATCATGGCCGGCAAGCGGTTAATGCTTCATGTTTTGAGATACCGTGATGCCGTAAATCCGAGATCCAGAACACCCGGATCCTAAAGCTTTTGGTTAGGGTTTAGTGAATTCAGGGATTGGGTGTAGGTTTTGCATTTTGGGAGTTTCCGAAAATAAGGGGTACCTTATTTTGGGGTCCTTATAATAAGGATCCTATTATTTGGGGTACTATATTAGGGCCCCCTATTTTCGGAAACCCCCGTTTGAATTGGCCTCCGGATTTAGTGATTTCACTGTTTGAGGTTTGAGATTTGGACTGGTGGATACATGCTACGACGTGTTCAGCAGAGCCAAGTGGCCCAACTACAGGACGTATTCAAGATGACAACAGCTGAAGCTGCCAGCCTAAACCCTAAACCCTAAACCCTAAAACCCTAAACCCTAAACCCTAAACCCTAAACCCTAAACCCTAAACCCTAAACCCTAAACCCTAAACCCTTAACACCGAATTCATGTACAACCCCGCTCCCCCAACTTTGACAGCCTACCCGAACACAAATCCCACATCATCTTCATGGTGTGTTAGCCCACATTCCCATTTATAAACCGCCAGGCCCTGATTCATCAACTCCTAAACCCTAAACTCCTAAACTCCTAAACCCTAAACCCTAAACCCTAAACCCTAAACCCTAAACCCTAAACTCCTAAACCCCAAACCCTGAACTCATGGCCTTCCCCCTGCGCTGGCGCAAGTATTCATGAGTCATGAAAGCAGCCGCAGTGCTCACAAACCCCCACTGTTATAAGACTCAAAGGCCTAAGCCTTGGGTTCAGGGTTTAGGGTTTAGGGTTTAGGGTTTAGGGTTTGCTAGTCGATGACAGACTCCAAAACCCCTTAATTTAGGAATATACTTTAAATCATACTAGGGATCCTACTATAACTTAAGGTCTATTCCTTAATTAAGAGATATTGGAGTCTCTGGGAACCCTAAACCCTACACCCCAAACCCTAAACCCTCAACCCTCAACCCTCAACCCTAAACCCTAAACCCTAAACCCTAAAGCCTAAACCCTGAACCCCTCGACCCTAAACCCTAAACCCTAAACTCTAAACCCTAAACCCTAAACCCTTGGAGTCTCTGGGTACACGTCGCCGGTCGTCGTCGTCTGAATCATGCGGCGCCTGTCGGCCGCTTCCCGTGCTCTGCGCTCGCTGACGCTGAGAGGCCGCCTGTTCTCGGTTTAGGGTTTAGGGTTTAGGGTTGATTCTTTTTTCTTTGGTTCATCATATAGAAGCGGTGTCTAAGCGTATTTATGTATGTATGTATGTATGTATGTATGTATGTATGTATGTATGTATGTATGTATATATGTATGTATGTATGTATGTATGTATGTATGTATGTATGTATGTATGCATGGAGTATGCATGTATATGTGTATTGAGGGAGGGAGGGAGGGAGGGAGGGAGGGAGGGAGGGAGCGAGCGAGGGAGGGAGGGAGGGAGGGAGGGAGGGAGGGACAGAGAGGGAAAGAGAGAGAAAGAGAGAAACAGAGAAATATTGAATGAGGCAAAGACAGAAAGAGCGAAGTGAAGAGAGGAAGAGAGAAAGAGAGACAGATAGAGAGAGAGAGAGAGAGAGAGAGAGCGAGACAGAGGCAGAGAGAGGGTTCTGTGCCCGAAAGCCTACTCTTTTCGGGCTCCTAAGCATGATTTCCTTCTGCATGGCCTTAGAAAGCTAGGTTTTGCGGGCTACAACTAGATAAGGGTTTTAGTGCATGGATTTGGGGATTTCTGCGTGGCCTTAGAAAGGTAGGTTTTGTGGGCTAATTGCAACCAGATAAGGGGTTTAGTGCATGGATTTGGGGATTTCTGCATGGCCTTAGAAAGGTAGGGTTTTGTGGGCTACAACCAGATAAGGGTTTTAGTGCATGGATTTGGGGATTTGGGTATTGGGCTTATGTAATCTTGTTGGGCTATTAAGGCATCAGTGCAAGAGTCTGAATCAATCTGCACGTGGCGGTTGCTGAGGTTTCATATTCTGGGCTTTTGCCGAGTTTAGATTGGGCTTTGCATGGTTCTTGCCAGCACACAGCCACAAAATCCCACTGTAGTCCCTGTGTTGCTGTGGTAAAATATACCCCACAACGCTATGCTATGCCATTTATCAAGGCTATTAATTCGCCTAGATTCGGGCCGTGACTTGAATAAGCACAGTTCTCCAATATCACCCTGAGAGCTTGTGGTGTGTTCATTTTCAAGAGTTATAATAAGCACTGCTATGGTAGAGTTACCGCCGCCACAGAGGAAACAACAGCCGGTTTCGTTTCATTCAGGCCTCTGTATAAGGCTATTGGGCAACCCCGTAAACCCGAAATCCCAAACCCTAAACCCTAACCCGGTGCGAGGTCCTCGCATCGCAGCTTTGCGCCGCGATTCCTCGTCACTCGCCCCAGCGCCGGCGTTCTCTGAGACACGATTGGAATCTATCGGCTTTTGGTCCCTATGGGTTCCTTTAGGGTTTCTTTACGGGTTTGGGGTTCTTTTAAGGGTTCCTCAGCATATGATATCTACATATGCATACATCCATGTATCCAGTGGAACCTACCTGCACGCGTGCATGCATGCATGCTTGCTTGCTTGCTTGCTTGCTCGCTTGCTTAATTTGTTGCACAACCACATACATGCATGCATACATGCATAGAGACAATTACACGACGGAAAATACAAGGCAGCACAAGACAAGTCAAGACAACACAAGACACGACAAGACAATGGAAGACAAGACAATATTAGACTATATACATTACAATACGTAGATGCGCGTGCATAGAGAACATATATATATATATATACATATACACATACATACGTATGTACAGATGTACACACAGATATGTGTGTTTTACCCCCTTCTCTCTTTATAAACAAATATACATACATACATACATACTCCTGCATATGCATATATATGTATATATACATATACGCATGTATACATACATATGGGTGTGTGCATGCATGCCTGTATGTACGTATGTCTGTATGTATGTTTATGCACATGTGTACCTGTCTGTAGTTGTTCAAAGTTGCAAGATTTGTTGTT